TCAGATTGCCCTCACAGGCTTCCGCCTGTGGCAGCCTCCCCCCAACACCCCCGCACAGCCGGGACAGGCCGGTTCCCCCGCAGCCCCCCGTGGCAGACTGGCCTCCCCCAGCTCCCAGGGCCCGAGGAGCACCGAGCAGGGCGTCTCTGTGCAGCCCCACCTCACAGCCTCGTTCTCTTGTGCCCTGCGGCTCCTCCGAGTTTTCATCCGTCCCTGTGCGCTCCTTCCCCTCGGCAGTCCCGCTCGGCTGGAGGCGGCCCGCAAGTCTTGAGGGTCTCCTGAGCTTCCCGCTGTCACCCCTTCGCACGCCTTCACAAGAGCTTCCGCTCCCTGCCGGGTGCTCAGTGAGGGTTTATTTCTGGCTTCTCCATCATCTTTGAAAGGGGGATTCTCTCCCCCGAATGACCTGACTTTACACAGGGCCATCACTGGGTGTTTATCAGTCCTCATCCTCCCTTTTTCCTTTTCTTCAAGACCGTGATTGTGTCTGTTCCGTTTTGGTAGTGATGTGTCTCATCTTTGCAGAAAAGGTATTTAGAGTGAAAAAGTTTGGCTGGTGGTGGAAGGGAGTAGGAGGGTTTTCCTTTGACGGAACAGCCAGAATAGAGTATGTTATGGCTGGACTTCTTGTATGTCTGTGTATTCCTGTGTGGTCAGTTGTTACATGGAATCACAAGTCTGAAGAAAAGGCTGCGAGTGCAGAACACCTAATAAGCATCTCTGGACAACTGGATATTTATGTATGCGTTTTGTGACTTCATATATTTTAATTTAAAAAAAAATATTTCAGGGGAAATTGAGTTTATCTTTACCATTTCTTCTACTGTAGCAGTTAATGCTCAAATACTGTCAGACTATGTACATTAAAATTTCGAATGCTTTTTCTTGAATTATTTTAATGCTGATCACAGATGTGGAGTCTGGAATTGTAGTGACTTCATTTCCTTTATCTGTTGCACTAAGACAGCTTTAATGTTGCTAGCACTAAGGGCCAGCAGTGTGTGTACACTTTTTCCTTAAGATAGCTAATGAAGGCAACAGTTATAGTGATGGTTCTTTTCACAGGAATACTGTTTAACCAAGGTTGAACTAATACTTTCTAATCTTCTGAAGGATTGTCAACATGGTAATAATTTGTTTGCAGAACTGATCTTAGCATGGCTTGAATAACTCAAGACTAGAAAAAGTGTGCAGGATATTATACATAAGTTGTGATTAGTAGTGTTTATGCTTCTGTAAAAAAGTAATTGCTGTGTTCATCTCAAAGGACTTAGGTCACTGGTAAAAGCTGATTATCTGCAAATCAAGGGACTTATTGAAACTGATAAAGTAGTTGGATTTATATGTGTGGTCCAGTTGACAGTCTTAGGCTGGGTAAGGAGTTTTGTTTACAAAGACTACCATATAGTATGACAGGATTCGTTCCCTTCCGATGTCTGTTATGATTAGAAATCTCTTCTTTGGTGAAGAAATAAACTAAAATAGAAAATGTCATTGGTGGAATGCACTTATGATTCTTGCCTTTCGTTAATTGAAGTTAATTTATACACATGACTGTAGCAAACTGATAATTTTAAATTAATAGTCTGTATTTATTATGTCTTCCTCAGTTCTGAGACAGTTGAAAAGATGTAGCATTGCTTTTATTGAATCCAGACAACATAATAATGAGTAGAATTTCCGTTATACCTGAAAAGCAAGCTAAACAAAGTCTGGTTAATTTTCAATTTGTCTTCATGTTTTGTTTTCTGGGTTTGAAATTGTCAGTTAAAACTTGACTTTTAGTTCTTCCTGTCTTTATTTTTAGGAAAGAGAGCTGAAAATCTGCTCTCACATTTAGTGCTTCATAAATTTTCTTGCTGTTTCAGATTTCTTGTGTATTTTAAAATGCCCTGACTGGCTGGCTGTCCATCCCAGTAACTCTTCCAACTGATAAATTCTTCCAATACTTTTATAGGGGAAAGCTTAACAACCTATAACTGCCTTTTGTCATTCTGATTAAAAGTTACATGAAGGCATTTTAGTCATCTGAAGTTAAACACTCCCCTGATAAATTGTGCATTTTTCTTATGATCTGTGGATTCTTCTTTTAGCACACTTCACGTAATAGATGTATCATCAATAGAACATCAGTAATAGTTAGGAGAGAGATACATTTTTTTTCTTCTGGTGGCAACTTTGATGAACTTATGTGAAAGGTCCATGGCAAGTGGCTGAAAAAAAGCATGTATACCTTAAGGTCTTATTATTTCAGGTCCAAAACCACGCTAAAACTTCATCCAGAAAATAGTCAAAGACTTGCTTCTAACGTATCTTATGGTGTGGATGTTCTGGGTACTTTATATATTAACTAGAACGAGTGTGTTTAGATAAATTATTAGTATGTAATAACTAAATCTGCAAAAGAATGCATTGCAAACACCTTGGTAATGCTGGGTTTTTTTAATCTCTCTTTGTCTTCTAGAAATGGGTCCGCTTTCAGAAGATGCAGTGCAGTAGAGGTGGTGCTTGGAACTGGATTAGTCATGGCATCAGAACTATGTAAAACAATCTCTGAGGCAAAGCTGGAAAGGCACAAGAACTTGTTCTTAAATTACCGAAATCTCCATCACTTTCCTTTGGAGTTACTGAAAGATGAGGGGCTGCAGTACTTGGAGAGACTTTATATGAAAAGAAATTCCCTGACCACATTGGTACGACAACTTCTTTATTGTAATGTTTACTGTATGTATGTTTAGGAATTCTGATTTTTGGAACAGGAAAAAAACAAGATAATTTTTTTTTAAAAGGATAGTAATCTTATAGCAAATCTGAACCTGAATGATGTCATCCATTGTGAAGTACTCATATGTGGTTGTATGGTGTTTGAACTTGCATGGGAAATGTAGAGTATAATAAATGAAAATTTTAATGACATTTTATGGTAACACTCTCGAAGCTCTGTCAAGATCTGGGGATTTTCTTGTGAGGTTTTTCTTGTTTGACTTTTCTTAACTGCTGTGGTCAGGCCTTTACTACTGTTAAGTGATACTATGCAAGTTTAGTCTACATTTCTTTATTAGGCTAAACAACTTTTACCTTGGGGTGTGCCTTGTCTGAAAGGTGGCATCAATCCCAGGGTGTAAATAAAAGTGTGCTGTTAAGGTGCCAGCAAAAACTTCTGTCCATGAGCTCCTGTTGATAGGAGAACGAATAGTTAATTTCAGGGTTGTGGGGTTTTGTTTTGTTGTTTTTCTCTGAAGAAATTCTCACCCTGAATGAATGTTGTGACCCCAGAATTCAGTGTGGGATACTTAAATAACTGTGAGGACTCTAGAGAGAGTCAAAACTTGCCACTGTCAATAGACTCAAAATAGACTCAAGTATCCAAGTAATTCAGGTTGGATTTGATTGTTTTGTTGTTTTTTTTCTTTGCATCTTCTATGATATGGTAGGTAAAATAATAGCCAGGGCAGAGGAGCTGGAGGGCCTGGCTACTTAAATTCAACAAAATTATATCTTTTTGATTGCTTCCTAGAACAAGTCCAATATTCCAGTTTAAGGAATAATGTCTAAAGCTTTGACAATAATACATTAGAATTCCTCAATAAATGTTTCATTTCTTGAGCCAAAAGATTTTTGGAGATTTTATGCCTTTTCTTCATCTTGAATGAGTCACTTCAGTTTGCATGTACTGTAGAGAATTATTTTGGCACTTTTTGGTTTTGGGCAAGTCCTTTGCTTAATAATTTAATGGGAGGATAGGAGTCATGGTTACAAATTAAAGCTGCTTTAAAAATTAATCAAAGACTAAACAGTTCTGTTTTGACACTTTGTGAAATTCAGTGATTATTGAGTGGTATAAGGTTTGTGAAGTTTGTACTGCTCAAAAGATGAAACAATAGTAAGGGGAATTTTGCATGTCACTTCTCTGCATGTGTATGTGTTGGAGCCTAGGTTTTCTTTTTTCTCAAATTAATTATAAAATAGAAACCAAAACAAAGTCTTGCAAGTAACAGCTTAGTTCCATTTTCCTTTCAATATCTGTTAATACTACCCACCAATAGATGTGGAAGATGGCCTAAGAGTAATAACTCATGGTTACTGTCAACAGAAGATGTATCAAATAAGGGAGGCAGCTCTTGCCCAGTACTGTTTGGTATTGTAATTGAGGCCTGGGATAAAGGAAATGAAACAAAGCGTAGATCATACCTAGGCAAAATTACATGCAAACAGTGTTAAGTAAAGCATTAGGATTCAAAACAATCACGATACGTTGCTAGTATTATGACTTTGGGGAATCCATTCAGGTGCATAGCACTATTGTTAGGACCTAGGCAAACAAAATTGGGTCTAATTCACTGAGTATCTGTTCAGCAGAATAGATGTTGGAAGTTGTAGTGGACCAAAATAGATCAAGTCAGCAGCATGTTACAAAAAGGCAGATGTCTTTTTGGAACATAGAAAGTTTTGGAATCTCCATTAAAAGCAGAAGAGAATAATTATTGGATACTGTAAAAGCATAAGCAAAGATTAAGTCTGGAGTTTCATACTTATGAACAACCTAGGTAAACTGGAAAACACAGAAAGTAGCAACAAGGGATTTTTAGAGAACATGTCCTGTGAGAGAAGGTTGAAAGATTTAGGTTAATTCTGCTTGCAAAAAGAGAAGGCGGAGAATAAAAAAAAAAAAAAAAAAAAAAAAAAAAAAAAAAGGGGAAGGAATGGGGGAGAGCAGAAGTCATCAGTATTTTTACAAAACAGTATTTTCATAATGAATTTTTTTGCTGGTAGGACAAGTAATACGGTTGCTTTGAGTAAAGAAGTAGTAAGTTAGTTACATGGGGAGCAGGGCAGGATATCTCATCTGAGAATAGTTGAAAACAAATAGGTTATTGAAGGAAGCTGTATTAATTTCACTGAGACTTTTTGAAAGAGAAAATGTGCCAATGTCATTGAGGGGTAATCCTGTCTGAGAAGAGTAGCTTTAATGTCTCTTAGCTTTGTACTTCTTTGATTCTGTGCATGATGACGAGCATTAGCTCATCAATAAACGCTTTAAATTGCATATAAATTATTAGAAATCATCAAAACTAAATCTGCAGCATTTTCTTCAAAGTAAGATAGTACTTTTTTCCGGTTCATTCCTTCAGAGTTCTGCAAAAATGTTGACTAAATGAGCTTTTCTTCTTTGCTCTTCTAAAATGACTCTAGTCCTTGACAGACAGCTCCTGTGAAAAAACCTGAACAGTTACACTGACAGAATTTACACATACCTTTCCTAAGAACAATTTCATTTTTGTCTTCATTGGCAAAGAAATTATAGAGGTCTATAATGTAATGAATGGATCAAGAAGCTATATAGCACACCTATATAGCAGCATCAAGTCTTCCAACTTTTCCTCATTTAATGTTTGACTGATAACATTAGCCTTTTGGCAATTCTGTTTTCCCATCTATTAAAAGGAAATGTGAGTTTTCCTTGATGGCACTGTCAGAAGCATGATCTAGCCATATCATTGTTCTTCATTTACCAACTCCATGTGTGATGCTGTCCTGTTCAGACAGATCAGCAGGTTCACTTTTTGAAAAATGTCCAGTGGATTTGAGAGCAAGGCAAGCTTCCCTAAACCGATGGCAGAATCGATGATTCTTTCATAATAATTTTTTGTTGTCACGTCACCAATAGAGAAAAGAGTGAGTTTTACCTCTCAACTGATGGATTATGAATAGATGTTTTTTAATTTTAATTTCATTGTAGGATGTTATATTGAGCAATTTTGACTCAGACCCATTGTTTTTGTTACTCAAGAAGATAAGCGGAACTTCTATTAAAGACTTGCTAAAGTTAAAGTTGTGTCTCTCCTGATTTTAGCTCTTTTACAATATGAAGCAGTTAAAGCAAGAATAAGAGTATAATCTTCATGTATAATGTGAAAATAGTTTGTGATTCAGGCTAGTATTCTTATACTAATAAAGCGTGTAGGATGACAGTGAATTTGTTTTTTCACTTTCCCTCTTCTTTTCTTTTTTTTTAAATTAAAGCTTGCATTTTTTGTGCTTGAGCATGTTGCAGCCTTTGAATATATTCCCAGTTTAAGCTTTTCTCTTTGACCAAATAAAATTCTACGCTGAGATAACTGTACTGTGGCAAACGTTCCAGTAGGTGGCAACAACTCATTAGGTATAGCCTGTTTCTTGGGTCTTAATGTCAACAGATTCATTTTATTGAGCCATCATTTGCTGCTCTATAGTTAAAAACAAGCTGGTTTTTTGTACTTGGATCTAGGATTGTGTTTGCTACATAAGAATATTATGACTACTTTTTCAGCTTAGCATATTCCTTCATAATAAATTTATGAACACAAAGTTAAATATTTTAGATAATAATATACCTTAAAATTACATGTCAGAGAAAATTGCTAGGTGTTTTTTAACAGGAAGTTGACCATGTGATCAAGCTGACTTTAAAATTCATTTATTTATGCATATATGTATATTGTAAAAATATTTTTCAATAAAACATACCTGTTTCAAGTAGATTTCTTGAGCAATAAAACTGTCTTAACCTTGAATAACTTTGAACAGTTACCAACATGACATCTGAAACTTGTGAAGATAGTTTTGTGATATATGTTCATGGTTATAAATGCCATCAAGAAACAGAATTGCAGCTAGGGATCAGTTAGCAGTTAGAAAATTATATGCATGTTAATATGTAAATATGTAAATTTAGTTTGATGAATTCAGCACTTCTGGCTTGGTGGTAATTGACTAAGTCACACAAAGTTTGTAGGTCATTTTCCAATTCAGCATTACAAAATAAAATACATTATGGTTAGATGTCTTGTATAGTTCTTGTTCTACCTTAATTCTGTAAAGGTCGCAGCTTCTTAGCAGTCTCTTGTCTTCAACTAACTCAGTTATTCTAATATATTTTCAAAACTTAAGGTTTTGGTAATCCATTTTTTCAGCCTCAGGAATCTGACTACCATTTGGTTGAGGACATGTTGATGTCACTTCTAGACTGTAGTTCTGTTTCAGTAGTGAATTGCTCACCTTTCACATATCCCAGATTGCACTGATGGAGAATGTGCGGGGATGTGGAAATAGGGTATTGTATACAAGCTCCTTATTGCCATTTTTTCTGTGACTAGGTGCTGATGTGTTTTAGTATGGTTATTAAAATGAGTTGGGTACACAATATGTGTGTGTCTGGTTTTTGTTTTGAAACCTAAAAAATCTCTAACTCTTTTTCAGCCAGAAAACCTTGCACAGAAGCTTCCAAACCTCGTGGAATTGTGAGTTTGTGTAGGAGTTCTAATATATTTTTACTATGCTGATCCATCTTATCTTAAAATAATTCTAGAATGTATTGCTTGCACATAACCTACCTCTTAAGTGTGAAGGGTTTTCTTGGAGGGCAAGAAAGGGTCATTTTTCTGCTGTTTGTTTGTTTTTATTTAAATGAGGCCTATCCAGATGTATTCAGTCCCATGTTAATATTTTTTATAATTTCTTGGGTTTTGTATAACAGGAAATGTTATACAAATGTCTGCACTGCTAAGGGAAAAAATAACCCCAAATCCTCTGTAGACTATTGTCAGCCTGATAAAGCACTAGAACTTCCAAATACAATGGTCAGATGGTTATGACAGATCCAGAGTAACAGGTTACAGCCTCCAGCCCATCCCTAGTTGCTCATTTCCACCCCAGCTACCAGGGGTATTATGATCTCAGTCTTGCTGATTGTAGTAATAAGGTTTTTTCAGAACAAAGTCACAGATTGTCAAACAGAAGCAGGAATGAGCAGGTAGTGTAGCACTATTTCATGATTGTTGTAGGCAGAGTAGTTTATCCAGTCTTGCCCAAAGAAGGGACGTCACATGGATTTTATTATTTTGGCAATTAATTTTAAGCTGTAAGCCCCTGAGTCAATATTTTCTTCTCTCCCCTTTTCTTAGAAGGTTATGATTTCCTTGTATGCTAAGATTGATGGCGGGGGCGTTGGAAGGGACATCCTCTTTTCCCTTATAACTCATTTGACTCACTTCCAGTTGAGTAACTGATTCTGTTTATTTAATGAAAACCTCCAGATAGAAGGAGGTGTATATCTGAGTAGTCCAATGCATTCAGCTGTCTGATCTTGTCATCTTAATTTGGCCTTTGAAACCACACCTTTCTGGTACACGCGACCACGGTATAATTGAATTGTTTTGTAGGTCACTGCAGTCTCCCAACTTGCTTAAGAGACAGTCTTGTCTTATCATGCCTGAGTCTTGAGAGTATGTTTATGCTGAGAAGCAGTAAAATAAATATTTTTGTATTTGATATGCTTAGTATTTAATGATTTGCCATGGGACATCAGGAAGTCTTTGTTATCTGATGGTGCCTTTAGGAAAACCTGTATAAATTACATCTTAAAATAATCTCTTCTACTGAATTATAGAAGCCAAACCTAATTATTTGGGGTTTAGCAAGCTTAGTTGTACCACCATTATTCCAGACATTCTAAAGAGAACTGCAGTGAGCCTGTGATTTCTGTAGCTCTAATAGTACAAGTCAGTTTTTGATCAGACAGTAAGAGATCTTTTGTTGACAGAGACCACAAAATAAAGATTTATTTTAAGAATAACTTGTTACAATAGCTTTAAATTTTGAAAGATAAACTTAACTGATTTTCCTGAAAGTTACATCCTTAGCAATTTCATTACATGTTTTAAAAAACTTCACTATTGTCTGTGTTTCTTTGTATATTGTGTCCCTCATGCTGGGGTCATAATATACACATTTTTTAGCTTGAGTTAAATAGTTCACAAGTATTTTCAGGAGTTGCAACTGAAATGAGCAGGAGAATTCTCATCCTGAGGTTTTGTGTGTGTGTGTGTATATGTGTGTGTGTATATATAAATATATATATATGTGTATATATATATGTATGTATATAAGTATTTCTACAAAAATATCTGCTATTCTTATGTTTGTTACATTTTAGTAAACTTTAAATGTATGCAATTTTTAAAGAAAAAGAGAAGGCTCAGATGCTTCATGCAATTGAAATGCTCATATGTCTTTCCTTGTTCTGTCTTTATTTCCCTGAAAAGATGGGCTCCTACTTCAGGAAATGCTATCTGAATAGAATGGGAAAAAATATGCTGTGCAAATAATTTCCATGTGTGCCTAAGCAATTGGACACTGAGTACTCAGTATTCCTTTACAGTTAGCTATCAATATTTGAAACTATTGTTACTGTTATTTTCTACAAGACCTCTTAGTGTTTTTGCAGCAATGTTGATTAAAAACTAAAATGTGTAAAATCTGTTTTTTAATGTTACTAGTAGTACTGGAAATTCTCCAGCAGAGGGTGCTAAATATTCTTTGTAAGAGATCTAGCCATCCTCATTAACTACCAAAATGACCATGTGTAAGATTGGGTTTTTCTTTTGAAAAATATATCCTAGGTTTGAAAAACCCACTTGCAGTGAGTAGATTATGTGCTTTTTTCTCCAGTGCGTAAAGGTGTAAGAGTTTATGAGCAGGGCAAGATGTTTATAACTGTATAACTTGTGTGGGTTTGGGCTTTTTTTTTTTTTTTCTTGCCCAGCATTTAGTGTAGAATAACCTGGTGATCAAATATGGTTCATTCTGGTTATTCTATGTGCTTTATTCTTTTTCCTTGTTGTTTTCCTCTTATGACACTCAAAACTAAAGCCCCTTATTACTGTAACTTTAAATGTTTTGTTTTAAATAATTGTATATCATTCTTTTTTGTTAATCATTTAATAATCTAAGTGAAACTTAAGTACCTATCCATTGCCAGTTTATACAGTCCACAGCTTTTGTGGTCATAGAGAGGAATGGCTTTGAGGGTGCTCTTTCAGTCTGAAACTGGATATTTTGCAAACTGATTGTGTAGCAGAAGTCCTTGAGGGTAACAGGTGGTGTCCTCTGCTTTTTTTCTCCTCCCCCCAGGTACCTTCATTCAAATAACATAGTTGTTGTACCTGAAGGTAAGTAATCTACCAGCTCACAATAAGTGGCAGGAATCATAAAATATTCATTTTTCTTCTTTGAAGAGGTCTATTTTCCTTTATTTTTCCATAAAACATTAAAGATTTTCATACAAAATATATCAGTGTAGCTCTTAGTCGGTAATATTCTTGTTTATGCTATGTTAAATTCTTTTAATGAATTCTCAAATGCACCTAAATGCTGTTTGCTTCAGTTCTAATTGCAGAAAGTGAAAAGGCTAAATGGCACTCATCTACAGAAAGAAAAATCCAGAGTGTCTTCTGCTTTCAGACGGTTATCACACAGAATAATCTGCTGGTTTAGATCATGACAGATTTGAAACTTAAAAGCATCAAGAACTTGTAGTAGTTTGTCTTCTTTGTTTTAGTTGTAGAGTTATGTGCCCAACTTCAGGAAAGTACTTTAAACTCTTTCTGAATATATAAATCAGATAGACATGGAAAAAGTGATTTCAGAGTGGAATCGTCTGAGGAGAGTCTAGAAATGGGAGTATTCTGTACATCACTTTTTTTTCCATCCCTGTCTCACTGCCAGCAGTACTGTTTGTTAGATAGATAAGCATTTCCACAAATTATGTCATTCAGTTGTGAGACCAGCTTTAATACGTCAAAATCTGCTCAGACATAGGTGTTAGGTACTGTGGCTTTTTATCCCCTCATAGTCCTATTAAGATTTTAACATTACTGTTGGGTCACATTCATGTTCTAATCTGTTCTCTCACAAGCCATTGGCTCCCTCGTTAAACTGCAGTTTCTGGACCTCAGTGATAATGCCCTCGAAATTGTGTGTCCAGAGATTGGCCGCCTGAGATCTTTACGTCATCTTCGCTTGGCTAACAACCAGCTGAAATATCTACCTGCAGGTAAGTACAAATGCATGAGGGATTACAGCAATGACAAATTCCATTTGAACTTAATTTGCATAACGATCTGCTCTAGGTTTATTTGTATCTTACAGTTGAGGCACAGTACAACTTGCATTTAGGCAGGGATTGCCACCCTACTTATTGTACTCAGTATACTCTGTAGTTAGAAAAAAGCTGTGTACTTGAGGTAAAGTCCTGAAAAATGCTTCTGAAGTGGGAAGAAAATGTATCTATTTAGCAGTCTTTGCCATTGTATCAAGAAAATATTGAACTTCCTTGAGAAGACACAAAATGCCAGTGACAACTGTCATTATGATAAAGTGATGTTTCTTCTAATTCTTCAGAATATGAAGGATTCCAGTCCTTCCTTCCTTCCTTTTTGCCCAACAGCCCCATTCTTGTATTTTCTAAGACACATGTCTAGTAGGTTTGCCTATGGCAGTTCTACCTCACTGACAGTAAATAACAAATGTCTTGCTAGTTTATAATAAAAAAGCAAAATTTATTTAAACGTGACAAAGTCTGAAAAAGTTGGCCATGGGCAAATTTTGAATGATTTTTTTTTGTTGTTGTTGCCTTCAAAATACTTCGATAAGCAGACGTAACGGATTATTCTTCTTCCATCACCATTATATCTTTCCACGTAACGCGCTGGTGATTTTTAAATTATATTTTTTTAAAATATTTCTTTGACGTAGTTGCATTTTCTGATTTGCAGAGATGATAAAAATCTAAGGCCAGTATTTCAAAAAATTGGTCTAACTTAATCTAACAGGATTAGTTTTCAGCCCTAATTTTAACTAACTTCTCAGTGTGACCTTCATGTGTTTGTAAGTTCACATTGCTATTTCTCAATAAATATTTTGCAATTGCTTCTTGAAGCTTTGGGTGCAGGAATGTAGCTGTCCTTGTACTTTTCTAGGCATAATAAGCTTAATAAGAACAAGTCAAAGGATGATTATGATTAGAAAAAAATTTATATGACTGTGTAAATGCTCTGGAATGAAATTAGATAAACCTGTTAAACGTTATGACCCAAGGCCAATAAAATTTCCATCAATTTTCAGATGTCCTACATTCAAAAGGAAGGAGTGACTTGAGTGTTCTTTATGTTCCTCAAAGATAATTTACCTTATGGTGCTGTACCATGAAAGAAAGACTTGTTCAAAGCAAAAGTGACACATTTTCTGCAAAACTTCACACATTAACTTAAAAAGGTTCCAAAAAAGACTTTCAAAAGGATAATTTACATTACTGAAGAGTTGATTTCGAGTCTACCACATTTGATTAGGAACTGGTATCAGCTGCATAGGCACACTACATTTAATTTCTCCTGAAGTTTACAAAATTTGGTACTGAGCATTGTCCTAAGTGTGTTTAGTTTTGTGTGCATGAAAATTTTGCATGCTTAGAAATAATGCTGCTGTTGCCTACTTTTGAATTGGAGAATCCAGTGATGTCTGGTCTTTCTGCTTTTACTGGTAGTGTACCATCAGTTTATGGGTATGCCATTACTGCTATAATTACTAATCCTGTCTGCTTAGATGCTGTCACTGTTGGCATGACTGGATGTCATCCAGTTTGAGTGTTATCAGTCTGAGCAAGATTAGTCTTTCACTTAAACTGAAGGGTTTGCCCACTGGAGAGTTAATCTACTGCATTGAGTGTTTCCTAAACATAACACCTCCTGAAGAGGGCTTCCAAGCATATTTTTATAGTTTTTCTTTGTAAAATTGCAAACATTTCAAAGAGGACTTTGTTATAAAGTCTTTGAGTTTGGAAATAACAGTTATGTTGAACAATTGAAATACAAAGCTAAATAGTAAGTTTTAATGAATTGTTTTATCCCTAATTATATTGGTAGCATGAATCTTCATAATACTGTTAATGTTTATGTCAGAAAGCTAGCAGAGTCAATAAAATTAACTAGGATGAGATGTGATTTCAATGCAGTGCATCTTTTTACTGTGTGTTAACTGCTTTCTGTACAGCAGATGCTGCATTGCAATGCACTGTTAGGGAAAGACAGCTCTTAATTGCTCTTAATTTATAATAAGTAACCATTTAAGACATCATTTAGCTTGTTACTAGTGTAGCTTGTGCAGACTTTAAAGATCTGCATTAAAAAACAGCTTTCTGGGACAGGTGATGGTCATTTATGGAAGTAAGATTTTAAAACTCATGACCATCATTTTTTCCAAACTCACAAATGGCAGTCAACAGTTTATCACAACAGAGGATCCAGTTAAGAAAGGCTGATCAATACCTTGTGTAACCAGATAGGCCGACTTGCAGCATAATGTCATCACATAAAAAGCTTACCTCAGAGTTGTTGCCCTGTCATTCCTCCTGTCTCTCCCTTCCCCGTGTCTGGGAGTGCCTGAGTACCGTCAGGCTTTGTTGCATTTACATGGATATCTAGGAGGATACTCTTAGTAATATCCTTAATCAATTGCTTAAAAAATCTCTTTGATTACAACTGCAGAATAGTTGGATAGTAAATGTTTGCCATTAAGCATCTGAACACCCACACTTTTCCATTGCCTTTTATATTTTGAGAATAATTCTCTGTTGTGTCTTCTTTAGTTCTGATTAAGAAATAATGCTGTTAATAGCATATGTTGCTTCATTATCCATTTTTAGTGTTTTTGTTCCACAGTTGTGCTCCTTACGTTCATTTTTAGTATTTAAGATTTGCCTTATGGAAATGTAGCATAACTCTGATTTTAAAACAAGTAGTCTAATAGAGCCCTATAAAGATTTATGTCATCAGTCTGATTGTAGACATTCTTCAGACTCTGTTGAGCCTCTGCTGTGGTTCATCTTCAATGTCATGGACAAATTTTAGTCTCTTAAGTACCTGTTTTCATAGAACTTGTGAGAATTTAATAATGAAGACATCTTTTTTTGGGCTGGCCGTGATTGTCCTGCTAGTTTTAAAAAGTTACTTTAAAGGAGGATGTGGGGGAGAATGATGAAAATACATACAGACAGCATGAATACATAAGCCTTAGTTTCCTGAAGAAATCGGGCAATACAGGACTGATGAGGGGAAAAAGGGCATTAGGTGAAGCATGGAAATAGTGTTCTTTGGAGAATAGAAAACACTATCAATGCTGTGGCACTCTTGTAGGAGTGTAAATGATAATCCTGCCTTTGTGTTTAGGGACCACTACCAAATCTGTGTCACCCATGGGTAGGATCATGTACTTTGTGGAGGCACTTTGTTTAATTGTACACTACCACTGGAACAATGGGACTTCAATCATGCATCATTAAATTGGTGAGAATTGTTGAAAGATGACTAAGATAAACTTGATGAGAAGGGAAAAATTTGTCCAGAATAAGCTTGTTGAAACTGAGATATAATACAAAATGGTTGGATGAAAGCACTTTGTGAAATTCTCCTGCAGTCATGTTTGAATATACGTTGGATAAGGTTAATAAGTGGACCACCTTCTGCCTAACGCAGTCTCATCAGTATCTAGATTCCATGGTAAGCAGAATCACTAACCAGGGGGCTCTGTCTTCAAGAGGAGAGCAGATTAAAAGAGTTGCAGATAAGTAAGATGATGAGATTTAATATTATAAAGTTCTCCTGAGCCCTTTTTTTCACTGAAATTCACAGCAATTTTTGTTCTGCAAACTGTAAATCTTGTAGCTTCTTTTAACAATTACTTGGTTCTTTTATTCGGCTGTGTTATATGTAATTCTTGAACATGAAGTAGAGTTTTGTGGAGCTTTCTACTATTTAGCTGTAGCACTTAAATAATCTAAATTCTTGAAGGCCATTTGGAAATACATAATGACAGAGATCTTGAAAAAAATCTTAGAGTTGCAGCATAAACAAATGACGGTTATTATTTCATATTATTCCATTAGTTCATGTATAAGCTTGACTTAGAGTTGACGTTAGATTTCGTAGTAGCTTAACTTTATGGCTTTTATTAGAGGTTTCTCTTTGTTCAGAGAACTGACGTCTCATTTTAAATTAGAATTGTAGAGTTAGTCCTATATGAATGTGCTTGTCAGAAGTAAGTTTTCTGAATCTTCTCACTTATGAATGACTAATTAGAAACTTCCCCTTTTTTCTGAAGTTTATAATGCATATTTCAACTTTCATTTTTGAGAAATTATCTTCTCTTTCTGTAAGAATTACTGCATCATTTGGAAAAAAAAAAAATCCAATGAGATATACCAGAAAAAATATTCTTCCAGAGTCCCAAAGCCAAGGTTATCTCTGTTTTGCTGTGTTAAAATTTAGATTGCATTTCACTTTAGTCTTGGAAACCTTTGATGTGACATGATGGCTTTTCAGGTTTACATCTTAGTCTTGTAGTTAGTGAATGCACGTTTGGACAACAGATGACTTAAAAGAGAGTGGGTTATACTCAAAGTTGGACTCGAGTTTTGTATTTGACAAGGATTAGATTTTATTGTGCATTACTCGAGATATTTCTCCTTAGAAATGGCAAGTTATAGCATCTTGTTCTAAGATTTAATTAAAAATGAGGTTATGTTTATTCAGCACATGCTGGAGTTAATTATAGATTTACTAAAATGAAAAGCTTAATGTTTTGCCAAGTCAAGAGCAAAAGCTAAGTAATTAAACAAAGAATAGGGTATGGTTTATGATCCCAGCCCATCTTTTGGCAAAGTTTCCTTTAAGAAGGGAAAAAAATATCAGGGGTTGTCTTTACATGGACTAGACCAAGTTTCCCTTTGTTGTCAGGGAATTTTAAAAAACAAGAGTTGAGCACATTAATCGGGGGGGGGGGGGGGGGGGAAATGCAGTCAGATAATGGCAAACTTCATGTAAACTCTGCGATTCTATTCTTTAATCTGTAAAGTGAAAGTGCAGCTGACTGGGGAGCACCAGCAGTTGTTGTTGCTTGAAGCAGATCTCTCTGAAGCAATACAGATCTCTCTGCAAGAGTCAAAGGCAGGTTTAGCATATGCCCTTTCTTCCCCACTCGAGGGAATGTGTGGCTTCCATT